CAGCCTTCTTTGAAGGGCCTTCTCTTTTTCCCTAACCAGGCAGCAGTTCCTAAATCTTATTCTCTTGGAAATTTTTTCTTTTAACACTTTGCTTTTGCAGCAGTTCCTAAATCTTATTCTCTTGGAAAGAATTTTTAACACTTTGCTTTTGGCATGCTTTGTAGAGAAAATAATATTAAAACATTGCTGCAAGTGACAAGAAGTCAAGCAAATGAAAAGAGTGGTGAGCGAGAGAAAAATTAAGCACTCTTCCACATCCTGAAAATCGTCTGATAATTCCACGGTTGTTGTCTTCACCCGTATCGGAGTTCCCAGGACCCTTATGTGCTGCCAAACACCTATTGCCAACCTCACCCACATCGTGAATGAAACTCCACGGTCTTTGTTTCAGCCATGGTTTCTGACTTCTGGACAGCTTAGTTGTTCTTGGGTCTTAATTAGATAGATAGTGCAAGAAAATGTTACAAAATTTTATACTGCTTATGGTGTCAAATAAACCAACAGTGGCCCTCCAGTCAGTGATAAACTACAGCCCCTATTATGTCTCACCACAGGTCAGAGTGGCAGGGGCTGATGGGAACTGGAGTCCAACCAAAGCTACCTGTTCCCTAGACCTTCAGTAATTCTACGTGACTGGCCAGCTTTCAGAACAGTGACGGGTCTGCAGTGTTCATCGAATTCTGTCTACACCAACTTAGTTGTTTTAGTTCAGCCTTCCTATTTTATATTTATTGACTCACACATGCTTGCTTGCTTGCTTGCTTGCTTATTTATTTATTTATTTGCTACCTTTCTCCCAAAAGATCCGAGGTGCATACACTGTTTAAAATAAACAAAGTTAAAAGCCAAATCACGAATTATTACAATATTTTAAAAACGTTAAACAGTGATCAGATTAAAACTCATAGTAAGAACAATATTAAAAACACAAGCAAAACATGTAACAGAATGCTCCCTTTAAAAAAATCCTCTTGGTCAACCAGCCATTTAAAGAAAGCCCTGCCCGAAGAGAAAGGTCTTTGCCTGCTTGCGGAAGGATAGCAAAGATGGGGCCAGATTAGCCTCCTGTGGGAGGGAGTTCCAAAGTCTGGCAGCAACAACAGAGAAGGCCCTTTCCCATGTCCCCACAAAATGCATCTGTGAGGGTGGTGGGGCTGAGAGAAATGTCTCCCCTGATGATCTCTGTGGCATCTTGCTGTCTATGTATCTGAAACGGCCATTACATGCAAATCATTTCATATACTGTACAGCTATTCTCAGTGACACCCGTTCACACACTCCCCTTTGAATCATCCAGTAGAGTAATTAAGCATGCAGAAACTATGTGATACTTAGGCATGCGTGAACCACCTAGGCCCTAAATGTGGAGGAATACCCTTTGCATCTCCCTGTGGTCCTTTGCCCTTCTTCATACCAATGGTGTTCCCTGCTGTGGAAAACAATTATAAAGCCCTTGGGTAAACGGAGCAATATGTGTGCACTGTGCACATTAATCAGAGGGACTGCAGCTATCATCTCCCTTTCCCTCCCCAAACTGACCAGCAAGAGTGCCCTGGAAAATCACACCAGAGTGTCCTGGAGTGGTGCGTTCCTGCCTATTTTCTCATATTGGGTTCAACATTTAACAATTACATTTATAGGTGGATGATTTCTTCCATTCTCTGCTGATCTAAGTGGCTTCAAGTAGCTAGATCATTCATTTTGCCATGCCGTCTCTTTTGTGTAGCTGAAGGATTTTTTCATTCTTCCCCCCCCCCCAAAGAAAAGTCAAATTATTGGAGATCAGAAGTTTAATCAGTGCCACTGTTTTAGAATTATTTGTTAATAATTGTTAATGTGAAATTTAAGAGCCATTCTGTCCAAGACAATATACTGAGAGGTTGAGGTTTTGGGTCTTTTTTTAGTCATCAGTAACATAATTATTATTTCCCTGATTGCAGCTTCGAAGTTGAAATATGATTGCTGTGCTGGGCCACCCAGCCTGTAGGTTATTTTTAAACCAGCTCTAGCAGAATGTATTTTGGAGTGAGAAATTTAATTTGAGTGTCCTTCCTTTGCAGGAAGTCCTTCCCTTCTCAACACGCCACCCTGGCAGCCTTCGCAGCAGTGTACGTCTCGGTGAGTAATTTGATCTATTCTTCACAATCGGAAGAGTCAGAATGTCATTGTGTGTCTGCTGCAGAGCAGGCGGGGCAAGTAGTTGAGTCACTCCCAGTACCCTGGGCCCCCTAACACTTGTGGCCTCACATTCATGGAGTATCCTGCCCATGGAGGTAAGTGTCCTCTGTTGGGATTTTTCACCCTTCTTTTCTTGTTTTGATTCTGTGTTGCAAAGGGCTTCTCTGTTAAATAGCCATCATTTTCTTAACTATTTTTATATACAGTGGTGCCTCGCTTTACGAGCACTCCATTTGACGAAGAAATCGCATGGCGTTGATGTTTTGCAGTCGCAAAAGCGATCGCAAAACGATGTTCCCTATGGGGGAATTTTCGCTTTGCAATGATCGTTTCCCTGCTTCGGGAACCGATCATTGCAAAGCGATGATTTCCGCACAGCTGATTGGCGGTTTCAAAATGGCCACTGGGTGAAAAACATGGCCGCCCGCTGTTTTCTGGGATGGATTCCTTGCTGCACGGGGCAGCAAAAATGGCCATGCTATGGAGGATCTTCGCTGGACGGTGAGTTTGAAGCCCATAGGAACGCATTAATTGGGTTTTAATGCGTTTCTATGGGCTTTTTAAAATCGCATGACGACATGTTCGTGCGACAGCGATTTTGCTGGAATGAATTAACGTCGTCATATGAGGCACCACTGTATGATGCTGGCATCGGTAAGGATGGAGGGCAGCAGTAACATGTTTGAATAAATAGACCCAGGGAAAATAATAATAATGAAAAAGAACTCATCCAGCCCCCCCTACACCCAAGAACTGTGATTTTAAAAAAGTAGAAATTAGAAGAGAAATGGATAGAATGGAAGGCCAAACCCTACCATTTAAGTAAAGTGAAGGCTTGGGGCAGCATATTTGGAGCATCATGATAGGACAACAAATGTTTAATTATTTTGTGTGTTCCTGTAGTATTTTTATAGTTGGTGGGAAGATTTTCTCATAGGAGACCGTTGTAGAATTTTCTTCCTCAGGTTCCAAAATAACTTCGTCGGCTTTGAATACAATGGACAGAACCCTGTTTATTTATGTAAGGTTTGCATAACTTGCCATGGCTAATTGCAACTATCGACAAAGTGCCAGGATGCATCTCAGTCATGTACTTGGTCATGCATCTGATCAACAACCAAGAGGTAGCCCTTCCATCTCAACAATTAGTTGCAATGAGCTATAGCAAATTACACAAACATACTGTGAACACCAGTAGGATCCCTTAACTTTGTTTCTTGACTGGTGGAGGTGGGGGGGCATCACTTGCTGTTTCAACTCAAGCAACAAAATATTTTACTTTACTTTTATTAGATTTTTACCCCGCCCCCCCAGACAAAGTCTACTCAGGGTGGCCTACATACATACTAAAAACAACACAATAACAACATCATAAAATATTTATAAAACATTTATAACATGCTTTAGATTGCCCATTGTGGAAAATACTGTATACTTGTTATAAAATATTGCTCCCTTCACAATGAATGGAGTACTTTTGAAAAGCAGCGTACAGATATATAATCAATTCCCATGAACTGAGATCTTCTTAGATGCCTCCAGCTTCTCTGTCAAATGAAAGAAACCATATTTGAATATTTATAAGCTCAGTGTGGGTAAAAACTGATGTAAAAAGATTTGAGAAGATTATTTTCAGTGTTTTTTTCTGAAGCCTCTGAAGCTCAAGGTGCAAATTCAGAATGAGGAGCTGTAGATCTTTGAAAGCATGATTCCCATAGGTTCCTATAGTTCCTTTGGGTTCAAGAACTGAATTTTTTTCCTTTAAGCAGAAAGTTTTGTCCTCAATGGCAAATGCTATTGTGGTGGCTTAGATCACAAATGGGTGACTCCTCATACTCCAAATGGGATTTAAATGCAACTCCCAGCAACTTCAGCCAGTGATGAGGGTCATGGGAGTTGCAGTCCAATAACATCTGAATAGCCACAAGTTGCCCATTCTTGTGGTAAGAATTCTGTGGGGCTTCCTCCTAGGTAAGTGAGTGTGAGATTGGACCATAACCTCAGATCCAAATTAGAGAAATAAGCTTGATTAAAGAAGTAGATAAAAACTGGGCTATTTTCATCCCCCTTTATTTACTGAGATGGATATGTCTACCAAACAAGCATAACTAATTTTGTTTATCCACAGTGACTGTGACATTGGTTGTGTATGATAATTAAAATGTCATTAAACTCTTCAGCAGTAGCTGAATATTCAGATGCATTGCTGCCCCTTAAAAAACATTTGCTGGCATGTTTTGTCTTCTGAGCCTTTTCTCTTAAAAAAAACTAGTTCCTTCTGTTTATGGATAACAACATTGACCTCCATGTGTTATTTCCAAGCCCACCTAGTTTTATTCTCCTTTTGCATTCTGCAAAGCTGATTATTTCTGTTTTGAATTCTGAGAGGAAGGCCTTTTCCTCACAGTCGACAGAATCAGGAGGGGTTTGCTTATCACCACCACATTCCAGAAGGATGGTCATAAATCCTACCATACAGAGGAGAACCTTCTGTTTGAAGGTTGGGGGGTCTTGGTCATGGAGTCAGGCACATAACCACATACATGATTGAGGTGCACCTTGACAGTGTGTCAGTAGTCACAATTAGCCATGGCAAGTTACACAAACCTTACATAAATGATGGAACTCTGAAGGCACCCAATACAGTGGTGCCTCGCTTGACGGGCGCCCCGTTTAACGATGAAATCGCATAGCGATGAAGATTTTGTGATCGCAAAAGCGATCACATTGCGATGTTTTAAATGGGCAAAAATCGCTTTGCGATTATCGGTACCCTGTTTCGCTTACCGATCATCGCAAAGTGATGATTTTTTAACAGCTGATCCGCAGTTCCAAAATGGCCGCCGGGTAAAAAAAATGGCCGCCCGCTGTATTCTGGGATGGATTCCTCGCTTACCAGGCAGTGAAAATGGCCGCCGTATGGAGGATTTTCATTTAAATGTGAGTCTGAAGCCCATAGGAACACATTGAAGGAGTTTCAATGCATTCCTATGGGCTTTTTTAAATTGCATAGCGGCAAAATCGCTTTGCAGCTATTTTTGCTGCACCGATTATCGTCGCTATGCGAGGCACCACTGTATCTGAAAATCTATATATTCCAAGTCCTGTTGAAAATGGGAGTGGTGGTGATAACAAGGGATAGCAGAGGTTTTCAAGTCGCTCATAAGCAGAACTGCTGATTGCAGCTCTCATAACCTCACACTAGTGGCTATGCCGGCTTGGACTGATGCAGTTATAGGCCAAAAACATCTGGAGGGCCAGAGTTGCCAAACCCTGATTCAAACTATAGTCTTTGTTTCTGATGAATATCTCGCAGCATACATTGACATTGGCAAACTTTTTTCCTTTTCTAGTGATGCATTTTTCCTTATTCTTTGTGATATGTAAATAAGTCAACTGAAGACCCTCACTCTGAGTGTGAATGATCTGGAGGAGCCACCACTGCTACTCTTCAACCGAGTGCCAAGCTCACTCTCTTCATCAGCTTCAGCTGATGATTTAAATTCCTTACTTCCACTGGTACAAGGCTGTTCCTGAAGCTTCTCTCCTATCATGGAAGGCCTCACTGATATTTGTTATCTAGAACCAATGGACCCTTAAGAGAAAAGGATACCTGTTCATTTCAACATGAGCTTGTCTCAGACCACATTTGGCAAATTAACCCACTTTTCTTTTGTAGCTGCTCAGTAGCATGGCTTTGCATGTCTAATGTCCTGTATGCATAACACCGAAAGATTTGTGTAACTGGAAGGATGACTGTGTGAGAGAAGGAAATTCCCATTTACCTTAATGTGCTAAGCTACTGAATGTTAGTTTATACAGTACAAACTATTTAAGGAAATTCCCATTTACCTTAATGTGCTAGTTAGTTTATACAGCACAAACTATTCTCCAAACAGATATTACTACCCAGAACATGAAAAAGTTATTTTTTTGGACTGCAACTCCCAAAGTCTCCAGGTAGTGTAGTTAATGCCCACAAGTTTCCCCATCCCTCCATATTACTACCCAGAACATGAAAAAGTTATACTTTTTTTTACTGCAATTCCCAAAATCTCCAGGTAGTGTAGTTAATGGCCACAAGTTTCCCCACCCCTCCTTACTGTCTCATTAAGGAAACATGAGAGAGAAGGGACTCATTATTCTGAGAAATGACACAAAACTGTTACAATGTCTTTCTTTTAAAGATGTACTTCAATTCCACGTTAACCGACTCCTCTAAGCTTCTGAAACCACTTCTGGTATTTGCATTCATCATCTGTGGGATTATTTGTGGACTGACCCGCATCACTCAATACAAAAACCATCCAGTTGATGTTTATTGTGGCTTTTTAATTGGGAGTGGAATTGCCCTTTACCTGGTAAGTACAGTGCAGTTTTTCTGATAACTAACTACCTTAGAACTGAGGAATCTTACATTTAGATTTGCTAGAATCCTATTCATGTTCACACCTTTGCATAACCTTCCATGGCTAAGTGTGGCAAATTGACAAGATGCCAGGGTGTATCTCAGCTGCACTGTTGTGCATGGGACAAGGCACATGACTAGAAGTGTCCTAGCACCTTGTCAATTAGTCACAGCAAGTTACACAAACTTTACGGAAATGCCAATAGGATGGTGGCCATTACATTTTTGTGACTTTCTAAAACAAGTATGGGTCATGTAGAATTCATGGAGAAGTTGACTCATTAAAACCCTATGGAATTCAATGGACCTACTCTAGTGCAGTTTACTACACTAAGCAACAGGATTTGGCCCATTCTATGCTACATTGATATGTTATTTGTTTTATATTGTATGAGCCACAATATATTGTTGTCTGGAGAAATTCCATAATGTAATTAAGTAAATAAATAAATATGACTGAATGTGTGGCAAGATGTAAAATGAGCACCATGAACACCTTCAGTCTCACTCTATGCTCCACTGACAGTCAAAATAAAATATCTGAGCTAGAAATGTCTAGATTTGTGCTTTGGGGCTACAATTACCAGAATTCCCCAGATAGCTATATTGCATGGGAAATTCGGGAAGTTATCGTCAAAAAATAAAAATAAAAAAACAATTTGCACAGTTATATTCCAAGCAGTGGTAATGTTCAGGTTTAAAAGGTGAGCTATAGACTTCTCAATTTATGCATGATGAACCTGAAAAATGCCTTGATATTTTTTATGGTCAGCCTCCATTCCCCAAAAGTGCAGTGCATTGTTATTTTTAATGGACTGCTGGCTGTATAAATAGAATAAAGCTCAAATCCCTGCTGAGGGTCTACACAAATTGCTTTGAAACTGATGGATTTGTCTCTTACCGGCATATTACATTACATGGATCTTAAGCAACCAGAAGGGCATAACCTTTGAACAGAAAATTAATCAAGTTGAGAGACAGATCAGTAAATCAGTAAATAGCTGAAAATTAATTGCAAAGGGTGGAAAATACATGGAGACAAAGGCCAAAATTAAGGGAAATGCATGTATTTACATTCAAAATGTTTGGTTTATGTTTGGTTGCATTGATCAATTCTCTTGTACTTATTCTGTTGTAACATGTTTATTGGTGAAGTGTATGGAGAGTCCATAGTCTGAGTGCTTATTGTAATAGCAGACTCTATAATTTTAGTAAATTTATGTTCTTAAGGTTCTGAACATTCATGGCATAAAAGTAAGGTTGTCATATTCTAATTATCCAGATCTAGTAGACTAATGTGCATATTCTGGATGATGTATTCCAAAAAGAAAATTGTAAAACTGAAACAATTTATTTTTGGGACTACATAATCCAGAATCCCCCTAGTCAGAATAGTCCCTACTTATGTTAGCGGGAGGATTCTGAGTAATAAAGTTAAAGAAAGTAAATGTTTCTTCTTCCGAAGGTGAACAGATACACCAGTCTTTTATGCACATATATTGAAATGTAAGACTTAGCAGGACATGTATCCGTGTAAGCAGATTAAAGAGCCATACCAAGACAAATGTTAAGAAAGGTGCGTGTAGAATTACGTTGAAAAAGACATTATAATTTCTTACCGTTAGCATCTCCAGAAATTTAAGATATATAACAACCATATATAACAACTAAGCTTGATCATCATCATAAGTGCAAGCTTCTAAGAATTTATACTGCCTCTTAGCCTCCTCTCAGCTTTCCCATCTCTTCACTTTGTCAGGGTAGCACCCAGCGAAGCTCAACTTTCAGCCAGGTTCACAGGAGCTTGTAAGAGATAAAGTACAACTTTTTTTAAAAAATGGAAGTCCAGTAAAATACATAGTACTGGAGCCTGGGAAATTCTGTTTTTGAACTACAGCTCCCATAGTCCCCAGAGAGTTCCTGTGGTTTCGTTGCTCTGTGCGCACTATTTGCAAGCAGCCTGAGGTCGGTTTTTGCAAACCAGCTTTGCAACAAAGCTTTCCCACAATTGCAACCTTTACCAATGACAAAACGAGTCTTTAATTTATACATTATGTGACACCATGGATGGCTTTGCTCATTGGTGAATGACACTGCATTGGCCAAAACGGTAGTTGTATGTTTTTTTCTTACATCTCTAGTTCAGCAAGGATTACAGCCTTTTTAAAAATTAAAAAAAAAACTGTTCTAAGCAGGCACTGAATTGTCTAACTGAAAACAAGGCAAAACTTTGTTAACTGGATAGTACAGCAACCCTGGCAGTAAGACAGTTTTAAGCCCTTTGATACACACGACACAGAATTTCTACCAGGGATGGGGACACAAGTTGCAGGACTCAGTGTCAAGTCAGACTTAAGTTGCACCAGTGACTTAACTCAGATTTTTTTTCCCAATGACTTGGACTCAACTCACAACTTGGAACCCGGTGGGGGGGGGACTTGTTTTTAATAGGGACTTGGACTTGGGACTTGGTACCAAAGACTCAGACTTGGGACTTGGACCCAAAGAATTCCCATCCCTTGCTTCTGCTATGGCCAAGATACTACTATTTACCATAGAATTGTTGATGCACCCAATAGGAGCTCATGGCATGTGTTTCCTTATATAAACCCAATCCTCCCAGTTGCTTGAAGGAAAATATGTTTTTGCTCAGCAACGCAGTTGCTTTGTGTTGTAAATCACACTAGACTTGAGCCCATTGAATCAACAGAAATTCCATAAGTTCTATTTATTCAAATGGACATACTCCACATGCAACCTGCTTATGCTAAACTTGCAGTTAGAGTAGGCTCACCTAAATCAATGGAGGAACTGACTCATCCACTCAGCATAGATTCAGTGGGCCTATTCTAGTACAACTTACTGTGTTAAGCAACAGTATGTTGGCTGTTGCAAGCTGTCCTTGCTGTAATGCTTTGGGTGGCTTAGTCCTGAACGAACAATTAGAACTCATTAGTTTGATGAAACAAGATGAAACACCTGTTCCTAATGAAGATGAAAACTATTAGAACTGGTTTGTTGATACAGACTAACACAGCTGCCAGCATTTGAGATGGGACTATGGGGACTGTCATGCTGAGTGCCTGCTATACAAAATTTACAACTGGAGGGTTTTTATGATACTTTCAGCTCTGTTGTCATCTAATGACTGCCGTGTTCTCCATGTCTGTGTGCACATGGAAGCAAGTTTTATGAATTCTTAGATATTAATAGCTACCCAGTAAGAATCTGTTGTTGAAAACAAGGTGTACCAATCATAAACATGATTTGCATGTTCATTTCTTAATGAGGAAATGCAGCCAAATCAGCAGCTGAAAGTGGGCAAGAAAGAAAAGCCATTGGTTCCCTCTTCCCTTTTCTAATATTCCAATAGTAGGATGAACATTTCACACCAACACAGTCACCATTCTCCATCTTTTTAAAAGCAACTATTCTTTACTTATGCCAGTGCCAATTGCTCTTCATTTTGGCTTAAGACAAAGACAACTCAACCAAAGCCAGTGCAACACCACTCCTTTAAAACAGGTTAGGTTAGCTGCCCTCAGGATGGATCAAAAACTTGCCAGCTTCTTCAGGGTACAAGAAGATTCCACTTTGGGATGGGCCTCAAGAGTTGCATTCAGAGTGTGTAGAGATAAAAGCACAGCCATAGCCACACTGACATAAGTAATCCATTATAGATTTTACCAGTTCGTAGCAGCACAACACCTCTCAGCCATGCCATACCTTCCCAAGCATCAAAAGAGAGGGCTTGTTCCATTCAAAACCTTCCCAGATGAAAACCGAAGCCTCTGTGCCATGCAAAACTGTCTCAGGCTGAAAACCAGAGCTCCTGTCCCATAGAAACAAGAGCAGAAGTTCTTCAGGTGAGGTGTAAAACAGTTGTGGAATGGGTTACAGACCACCCTTCCCCACGCCACTTTTCTGTAGAAAGTGTTGGAATTATTTTCAGCCTTGTATGTTGCATTTAAGAGGTTTGGCTGGGAGCGACCTTTCTAGTTTGGAATGATTGTCAACCATTTGTTCCCCCTCTGTAACCATTTGTTCCCCCTCTGCTTCTGATTTTGAAGAGAGTCATGCCTACTTGAGAGTTCTATACACACACACACTTTCTTTTTTTCAGTCAGTATTCATCTAGTGCTATTTACGTAGGTCTACTGTTATTATGCAGTCATTTAGCTGGTTAAGGCCTGTTTGTGTAACCATTTTCCCCCTACAAAATGCAATTTTGATTGGTTCAGAACTATGAGTAAATAGAAGCCTTTTATCCTTTCTCTTATCAATATCTCAGAGTGAGTTACTGAGACAGTAAGTGCCAGATGAAGACAACCAATAAGTAGTAGCCTACCCTAGAGAGACTTGAAGCTGATTCTGTTCTGTAGGTCCCTGCACTATCTGCTGTGTAACTAGAGGTTTTTTAGCCAAAACTTTCAGTCTGCCAAGAGAAAGATGGGGAAATGCTCGGGATATAAGTTGATCATGAAAGTGTCTTTGACATTCTCTGCTTATTGTGGCTGCTGGTGAGTCCATTTTTGGGGGGACCTTGCAATAGGCAGAGATGGATTCAGAGACCATTAACTAGAGTTATCACTCAGGCCACAAAACGGGGGTGGAGAAAATGTGGCTCTCCAGATGTTGTTGGACGACAATTCTTATAATCCGTGATCTTATAGTGTGCTGGCAAGGGCTAACGAGAGCTGAATTCAAACAATATCTGGAGCATCACTCACTCTGCATCCCTGTGATGAAAGGTACATCATAATTATAGATATATTTACAGATTTGTTAGACCACACCATATCTGCAGCACAGCATAGTAGGCTAGCTACCCACAGTTACAGCAGCTAAAAATGTTGTTTTCCATAATGGGATCCTGTTTTTTTCCCCTCCCAATTCTAGGGCCTGTATGCTGTGGGGAACTTTCTACCAAGTGAAGATATGTTTAATCAGAATACACAGAGGGAACCATTAAGATCTTTGACTGACATGAGCCAAGATGCCAACAGAATCCTACCAGGAAAAAATGGCGGCAGCAGTGACACCATCTCCACCCACCCTGCGGAGAGTATGTTGAACAGGAACCACAGAGACATGGGCTCCCTGACTAATCTCAAGCGAGCCAATGCTGATGTGGAGATTATAACACCACGAAGCCCAATGGGAAAGGAAAACATGGTCACATTTAGCAACACTTTGCCAAGAACCAACACGCCAGCAGTGGAAGAATCAGCCCGACGGAATGCTACTATTCACGCGTCTATGGATTCAGCCCGCTCGAAGCAGCTCCTTTCCCAGTGGAAGAACAAGAATGAAAGCCGGAAGTTGTCCCTGCAGGTGATAGAGACAGATTCTGGACAGTCACCACCTAGAGCAATTGAAATGAGGTCCAGTTCTGAGCCATCCAGAGTGGGTGTTAACGGTGATCACCATGGCCCTAGCAATCAATACCTAAAAATTCAGCCTGGTAGTATGCCAGGCTGTAACAACGCTGGCCTTTCTGGTGGGCCGAGGGTTTCTATTCAGTCACGTCCAGGTTCTTCACAGCTTGTGCACATTCCTGAAGAGACGCAAGAGAATGTGAGCACATCTCCAAAAACAAGCTCAGCCCGAGCCAAGTGGTTAAAAGCTGCAGAGAAGTCGGTCGGGTGCAGAAGCAACAGCCAGCCAAGAATCATGCAGGTCATTGCCATGTCAAAGCAACAAGGGGTCCTTCAGGGCAGCCCAAAGAGTTCCGACGGCAGCACAGTCACCTGCACGGGCTCCATCCGCTACAAGACCTTAACGGACCACGAACCGAGCAGCATCGTCAGAGTCGAGGCCCACCCGGAGAACAACAGGCCCATCATTCAGATGCCCTCGGAAGGGGAAGGGAGCGGCTCATGGAAATGGAAAGCACCCGAGAAAGGAAGCCTTCGTCAAACATATGAGCTCAATGATCTCAACAGAGACTCGGAGAGCTGTGAATCCTTGAAAGACAGTTATGGATCTGGGGACAGGAAAAGAAGTAACATCGACAATGCCGAGCACCACCATCATGGAATCACGACGATAAGAGTCACACCAGTGGAAGGCAGTGAGATTGGTTCAGAGACCCTATCCATTTCCTCCAGCCGTGATTCTACCCTTCGAAGAAAAGGTAATATCATTCTTATCCCTGAAAGAGGTAGCAGCCCAGAGAACACCAGGAACATCTTCTATAAAGGAACATCTCCTACAAGAGCGTACAAAGAATGAGAGCTGGTGCTTCAGCTGAGCCATGCCACAAATGATCGATATCATAGGTTACAAGCTTTGTGCTCTCTTATAATTTTCATTTTACTGAGCTGAGGCTGAAATATTCTTGATGTGCCAAAATATTGACCATCAGCCTGACTGTTTATGGATGTTGCTGATGTGTAGTGATTGTGCATGAATTTGTGGATTTCATGTTGCGGGGGGGAAAAGCACAATGCAAGAACCTAATGAATGAGAAATTTCCTAACATGCTTTTTTTTTCCAGACTCAAAATGTTTCTCCAATAGGAACTATGTCATCAGAAACAGCAATCTTAAAGGCAGACACCTTAATTCCTGAATGTGCCAACTTTTTGATTGATGTATATTCAAGGACAAAAGAGAGAATTTTTTTAAATGCAAAAGCTGTACCAGTGTTGTACTTCATCTTTGCGGGTTTTGCACCAAAATTTAATGCAAAGTCGGTGCTGATTCTAACTTTATGTTTTTAGAAAACTTCACCTATCAGTCCAGCTCTACAGACACATGATGTTTTGATGTATAATTCCTTTCCAAGTAATATTGCTGAAAATATGGTGTTGGCTGCATCCATTTAGAGTAGAAAAAATATTGACAGCTTTGTTATAGTGGAACGTTCACATTAAAAGATTGCAAAGGTTTTGTGTAGTTCTTTGAAATGTTTACTAGAACAAAAACTGATGTGAATGATGTTCCATGAAAGTGGAATCATGTTCTCTCCTAGTTTTTTGTTTTGTTTTGTTTTTGCTTCTCTCCAAAATGTGTTTAGTTACAGGTGCTACAAACCAAGAGGTCACTTCTTAGTAAGCTAACTGGGGACTAGTTTAAATATTGTGGTAGTATTTTTTTAATAAGAATTTCTTATGCACTAAGTTACATTCTTCTAATTTAGTAGTTTCTTGGTTTGTCTCATTGCTGATCTTTCCTCTTTTCATTCATCACTGAGTAACTAGAGCTTTACACTAATTATTGCAACTGTGCTGTAAAGATGAAAATAACAACAGGCTGCCTAAATGATTAGCAAGGCTGGAATTAGGTACAGGAACATTCTTGACAAGCCTGCATGTGTGCACACCCTACATTGCTATCCTTCCAGAAGCTGAGCTACAGCCTCTTGCTTCTTGAATGTGCCCTGAACCGGATGTGGAAATATAACTAGAGAATGTATTGCATTTGTAGCCTGCTTACCAGGTCTTCCTTTGGGCCTGTAAAACGATCAGTGAAGATGGGGCTGAAAGGCAGCACAATGAGTGCAGCCAGTTGGGTGTTCCAAGTCGCCATGCCCTACATTAGATGAGTTTTTAACATGTGAAACGCTCAAAACAAGGTGGCACTAAGCAAGCATAATGCTGTTTTCCTTACTTCTCTGCCTTACTGTGGATCATATGCCCTCCTCGGAGTTCTTCATATCCCACGTAACATTTGGCAGTTCTAATGAGGTATCAGCAATAACTGAGATGTCTAGTAACTGAGATGAAAGCTTGATCTCTTGGGATTTTTTTCCCCATTTCTGGTTGATGGGCTGGTCCTGTCATTTGTAATCCAAAGTGAACTATGGATGAAACTGAGGGGGATGCTCCAGCTTGTGCCCAGATATGGTTGCCATTTCTGCTTTGCACATCCTAATTCTTAAACAGTGTATAGTTGGGCTATGAAGTCTTTGGAATGGCTTCTAGAGCCAAATGAATATACAAATGCTGCACTGTACTACAAATGAGACTACAGTCTCTTTAAGCGTAAGTTTCATTTAGGGTTATGAAAAGTTTTTGCCTGTTTTGAACTTGTCTTGTAAAGATGAGATCCACTGAAACAGGTTTCTCAGGTGAAAACTGATCTAGTCTGGAACTATTATGATGTATAAACCACAGCATGAAAAAGACAAAAGATTCTATAGGATCAGATTTAGTAGCAGTACTACCTAGGGATGTGTGGATGAGACTCTTTTCCCATCCATATCTCTTTCTTCAGTCACTGGTGTATTCTGTTGCATTTTCGTAGTAATCTGTGAATTTTTGATTCAACAAAAATGTGCATTTGATACAGACTTCCTCACAGAACACAGATTTTATAACTTTTTGAAACTGCTTTGAAAGCTAAGGACTGCAGCAAAACATTCAGGAACAACAACATTCATTAGACAATTTATGTCCCAACATGGTCATTGGTCCAGGAGGTGCAGTTCAGGCCCCAATACATTTCTGGAGGTGATTCTCCAAGGATCCTTAGTTGTAAGTAGCTTGAAATGTTGAGAATCCTAAAGAAGGTGTATTACTTGGGATATTTATAGTCCTAGTCACAGTTCAGCGTATTTAGAAATACTTGGGTACTAATCATTTCCTAAATGGGGAAAAATCCACATTATTATTTTGTTATATTTGTTTCCTTCCAAAATGCTCAGAATGGCACTTTATCCTGACAAATATCCTGTGAAGTGGGGAGATAGTGATTTGCCTATGATCACAGATATTTTTTTTCAGAGCAGAGGATGAAATTCAACCTCATGTATTGTAGCAGATCAAGTGACAAATTAGGACTTGCATAGGCCTGGATTCAAATTTCTGTTTAGTCATGGAAACTCATTGGGGAGGTAAAAATACTCCTTAAATATCTCACATAGCTTGAAAACCCTATTAGGGTCACTATAGGTTAGGTGCAATTAGATGCTTCCTAACATAACATCTTCCTAACATTCCAGAGATGTCATTCTGGCACACCTTCACGACCGAAGCACTCATACTTGCAAATGAAACCTGTGCTACCCTTACAAGGTCCAATCACAAAATAGAGCAAGCTGATTTGTAAACTCTGGGAGGTGAGAAGAAACTCCTGCTGCGACAATCAGACAATTCAGTGCTTAAGAAATTCCCTCTTCTAATGATGGGTTATCTGTAAAGAATAGTTTGACCCTTAGTCCTGCCAGATAGTGATGGTTGTCTAAGAAAGAGGTTCTTCCCACATATCCCACATATGATCTATGATCTAGCTGTGGAAACTTGGTTTCATAAGTGCAAAAAAGTTGTTCTACAAATTAATTTTTAAAAATAAAAGACCCAGTATTAGTCACATGTCACAAATGCTTGCAAGCTTATGATCCATGGTAAGCTAAAGTGCCACATAGGGACCCCAGAGAGTGGTCTGAAGCCAGCATGTCTTAGCTGCATTTGATGCAAACATAACCTAGATCTACACTCTTTAGCGCTAACAAGGGCTGTGTGTTGGGATATGTATCTAGATGTTTATCCACATCCCAATTACCCACATACCAAGCTTGTATTGGTCATCAGACATGCAGCTCCCAGACCAGCTCAGGAACAAAGCACACAATTTACTGGATGCAGGCATCCAACCAACAGATCTTCATGTCCAGCATTTTCTTGTACCTAAAGGTCCTGACCCTGCATTAAAATCCCCTAACTGGATTGGGGTGATTATTTTCCATTTATAATATTTATAAACACTGTGGAATTTTTTGTTGTTTTAAAATGAACATAAACCAGACTTCGTATCTCCAAATGTCTTGTGTTTATCTTTTCCCCCACATTTTTAATTATTTCAGACACTTTGATGAATGAATTAGTTCAGTTTGTTTAGTTCCGCCAAATAAGAAAGTCTTTGAACAAATAAGTAGGACAAAATCACAGCTGCCCTAGAATTATAATGAGAGAGCATAGTGGTGTTAATAAGTCAGTAATGCAATGCAGGAAAACGACAATTAACTGCACAATCCTAGCCATATCTACTCAGAAGTAAGTTCTATTGAGTTCAGTGGGACTTACTTCCAAGTAAGTTGGGTGTGTAGGGTGGTAGTCTAAGTATCTGCAATAATATAAGGACTAGAAAATTGCCCTTCTGGAAAAGCAACTAATTATGTCAACAGCATGTGATTCTTATCTTAGTGGGAGTGATTACTTCTTCCATTTTATTTCACTTTCTTTTGTTTTTCCTTTCCTTTCCTTATTTCTTTTTTGGCTTTACTTTAGTTATCCTAACAGATATAAAAGTTTCATGCATTGCTTTTCAGACTCAGAAGGTCACTGCATTCTTTCCAGTGCAGTGTGATATTTTTCCTAGCTGAACTTTTTTCCTACTTACTAATAAACAATTTTAAAGTACTTGCAGAATCATTGTAATTGCATTCTTTACATAAAATATTGAAAATACTCTTTTTTTACTTGGAAGTGCCAAAGGCTACTCTTTTTAATAATGGCTTCTCAGAAACCTAATTATATTCAAGAACAAAAAAAAGTAATAAAGATATACCTTAGAATTCTCACTTCTTTGTGTATATCATTTATGAAGCCTTTTGTAAAACTAATCTTTGTTTACATTCCACTGATACCTTAATTTCAGACAAATCAAATAAATTGACAGGTGGCACCTTCTAGGAATTTTTTTTTCTTACTTGCTAAAACGGGCACCAGTTTCTTTGTTAGGCTGTGCTTTACTAAGAAAAAAAATTGAGTAAAATACAAAATATGTTTTTAAATGAAAATTCTATATAAATATTGTGTTCTATTAAAAATGTTATGCACTGTTTTAAAATAAAAACAAAAAAACTATTTGTAAAAATGCTATAAATGTATTTTGTTAAATAAGGACAGAATCAATGCTACTGTGTGAATTTACTGTGCTAACATCGTTAAAAATAAAGATTAAATTCCTCGTTGAAGTAGAAAGGTTTCATCTGTGTCTCAATGTTTCATTTTTCATTGTGCCCCTTTTTTCACTTAACTGGAAAGTGCATGTGCGTATGTTTATGAGGAGGAAGAGAAATAACAAGTGGATTGGATCTACAATTAAATGTGCAGAATTTGCACTTCAGAGAAGGTCAGCTTTACTTGCTTCATTCCGTGAACTCACAAATGGTTCAAGTATAGCCCGTCCCAGTACAGTCATGCCTATAAGAAAAATTAGAATCACCCTGTTATAAATATCCAAGAAGGAAAAGGACAACAACCTACAAAGCCAGCAAGAAGTATTTAACATACTGTTAACCATGCCAGACATGCAAAACTAATACTGAATATTAAAAATGAATGTCCCTTTTGTGGATCACGTTAAGATGTTCCATGTACAGTATTTTTTGCAGGAATCCCACCCATATCAGTTGTTTCCTGTTGCTACCTCCAGGCTTCCCATAACCTTAATTATTAAAAGCTAAACTTCAGTACTTGTTTAGAAGAGGAAATGTAGATTATTATGGAGCTACACCTGATAAAATTTCATATTCATCAGTTAAAGGTAGAGGAGACCTGTCCACTTTCTCACATGGCCACCCATGTGGAAAAAAGCCTGTGGTAAACAGAACACCTGTAATTTTAATAGTTGTATAAAAGAGGACATTTCATACACTTTGCTGAGCTATCTTCTTCCACACAATTCTTAAAAATACACAAGTCAGACCTTTTTTCTCATATAGCAACACAAACAGACACCAGTGAGTGAGGAAGGACATTTGCTGTTAGACCTCAAGCAGCCAAATGTTTAGAGCTGACCCTGATCCCAGCAGTCATATGTTGACCATCCCTATCTTAGCTCGTTAGTTCAGTTTGCAACAGAAAAGAAATGTTTTCAGGCTTCTGTAATATTGAGTCAAAGTGGTGTAGTGGATATAGTGAAGGACTAGGACTCAGGAGAGCTGCATTTGGCTCCCTGCTCAGCCATGGACCCTCAGGGGAGGAGGGGGTGTGACAACAGTAAAACTACTCCTTAAATTTCCCGATTACCTCAGAAACCTATTAGGGTCATTGTAAGTCAAAAGCAACTTAACACTACCAAAGAAGAACAATTGGAATCTAATAATTTCTGACTGAAGTCTCAGGTTCTTTAAAGAGGGTGAACATACAGTCCTGATGCTGTTCCACTGTCTACTCCACTTCTTTTACTTAGGGTGGCCCTATGAGAGAGAGATCTCCAAAATGGCATGTCCTCAACAGCCCTGCTCAGCTCTTGCAAACTCAAGCCTGTGGGTTCCTTCAGGGAGTCAACTCCTCTTGAATTTAATCTTCCTCTCTTCCTATTGCCTTCAACCTTCCCCAGCATTATTGTTATAGGTACCCAAACTGATTGCCAAAGTGATCTAATATCTGTTGCTAGAACCAGGAGGCAAGAACCCTGTTGCCATGGAAACACACCAGCATTATGGTGGCCTGCTGCACAGCAAGCAGCCTGGCCATTGTTGTACCAGCACAACTCTGTTTATTTTGATAGCTTTTCTGTCAGCAAGTCAGAATGCAAAACCTCAGAGTAGTTGTTTAGAGAGCCTGCTTTGTACACTGGGTTATTGTATTCGTAGTTTAGCTCTCCCAATTTTATAGACCAGAATCCCAAATTTCCCTGCAAATTAGAAATACTACAAACAGCGCTGCAAATAGTGCAGTGTTCTTTCTAGTTACACTGGATAATTTCCTTGGATTCTCAACATATGCAGTCCTCAATCCAGACTAGGCTTGGAAACTACTTGAGATGCCTACAGTTATAGGTGGTTTCAAATGAAAGACTGTAACCTCAGATTGAATAGGAGAGAACTCTTCTGGATTCTTCATTCAATTCATACACTCAAAAACATTTCTTGTTTCTATAGCAACTAATTCAGTTTTCTGCTTATAAATAGCCCTTTCTATTGCAGCTTTACAGAAATTCAAATTTAATCATCTTTATATATTAACAACGAAAGGGAATACTGGAATGAAAAGAAAAGAGATATCCTTCATGGGAGTTTGGACAATTAAAGGGCCAGACTTGCAAAAGTCATTAGCATGGGCACATACCTGGAAAAATTGCCAGGAGAAATTCTTGGGTTTTTGATCACAGATAAAATATACATGGGTTTTTTAATTAAAAAATCATAAGCCCTGCTTTTGCTGCCTTTAACAACCAAATAGTGAAGCAGGAAGGAGTTCTCATACATCCTTGTTCCATCCACAACACCTTCAGTTAGGTAAGGAAAGAATTCTACCTAAGGTAGAAAGGTGAGCTGCTGCCTTTCATTGCCAACAATGCTAGGCTGGATAGAATTGGCGACATTCAGGCAGCAGCTTACATTGCCAGGAATTGAGGTTTGACACATTTAGAAGAAACATGGTTAGAAAAGGCTTTTACAACCTTTTGCTCCCTCACTCAGAAGAGCCATTTCATATAAACACCACTTCTTGTAGGTAAGTCCCAATGGGTTCTGTGTGGCAACCACACAATAACTTTTTTTCACATATCCAGAGGAACCAAAGATTATTTAACAAAGAGCTCTCGCCTTGCTGCAATTCCCAAGATACGTCAAGGGAAACCATAAAGGTTAAACTTAAATAAAAGTATTTCATAATACAGTATATGAATTACTCAGAAGCCTCTATGTGAGATACTTATTCAGCTCTCTGCTTCGAAATTACCAGAAGGGTTAAAAAAAAATCCCAGCTTCCAAATGTAGCTTATTCTACTGCCCCTCTACAGGGAGCTTTCGTGTAAGATGTGACCTAAATTTGTATACTGAAAATTACCCAGGAAATTAACAAAGAAATCAGGTGGCTCTGAGGTAAACTCAAACATAAATCTTTGCAACCTTTCTGCAGTCACAGCACATTACTGGTTCTATTAAAGAGTTTTAAATAGAAACATAACAAAGATAGCATTGCCAAGTCAATCAACAAGGTCAATAGGAGTCCAGTTTAATAAACGAAGACAGTAAATGAGATCAGTAGGGAGCCCACTTTAATAAGCAAAGGCGCCAGATAACTGTAAATTAGTAAGGAAGAGTTTGGCCTACCGCATGAGAAGAGAGAACAGCACAGGTGATAGAATTGTGAAGCTTGTCAAAATATATCTTCACCGCTGGAAATTTCCTTTTCCCTCCCTCCCTGTTGACTGTCACCAGGGAGAATGAATTAGTAATTTCAGTCATCAGATGGTAGGAGAAAGCAAGTGAACTGGCGAATGTGCATATTTGTCCTGTAAAGCAGTGGTCCCCAACCTTGGGCCTTCAGATGTTCTTGGACTTCAACTCCCAGAAATCTTGGCCAGCAGAGGTAGTGGTGAAGACTTCTGGGAGTTGTAGGCCAAGAACATCTGGAGGCCCAAGGTTGAGGACCACTGCTGTAAAGCATACCAATGCCAGTGCTAAAGTGAGATTTAGCTGCTGTTCCAGTTGGCTTTTTCCCAGAGAGGCAGAAAGTATCCTCTTGCACATTGCCTCAAGCAGCAAAATTTCTTGGACTAATCCTGAAACATTTTGAAAGTTTAACCATCTTAACCTTAAATATTTTCATATTTGCACTGTCATTGATTTCACACACCCCATATATACTTTCTCCATGAAGAATGGGACTCAAACATATACAGTGGACCCTTGACTTACAGACGACTTGACTTACAGACTTTTTGAGTTACAGACTTCTCTGGCCGCAAAATTTAGGTTTGACTTGCAGACTGAGATTTGACTTACAGACCAGAAAAAAACCAAAATGGAACAAAAACGGCCTGTTACGGGATTAATCGGTTTTCAATGCACTGTAGGTCAATGGAAACTTGACTTACAGACTTTTTGACTTGAGAACCGCCTTCCAATACGGATTAAGTTCTCAAGTCAAGACCCCACTGTAACCTGAACACTATTGTTTTATTGTGGTGGTGGTGGTGGTGGTATACTGCCATTTGGATTCTGACTTAGAGCAACTCTAATAGGGCTTTCAAGGTACATAAGATATTCAAAGAGTGGCTTACTGTCACCAATCCCCATCAAGTTGCCATGGATGAGACTGAAGTTGAACCCAGGTTTTCCCAGTTCTCATCCAATGCTTGATCCATCAACCCAAGTTCCTTTTTGGATGACATGTTGGCTGGAGGATTCTGAGAGCTACCTTCTGAGTTTTCCAAGTTCTGTGTTAGAGGGAAGGTGATGGGGGAAAAGTTGCAGATATTGAAGAGGGAAAATGCCTGGACACATGGTTTTTCCCCTTGCATAATGCACGCTAAACAAAGCAGTCATGTGTTCTCTAAGGTACTGCAAGCACATGGAATATTTTGCTTTGCTCAGTTTGGGGGCTTTGATTTCCTTAGTACTGAAACAATTCACAGTGTGCTGATTTGTTAGGATCTGTGGCAATGACCTTTTCTCCCCATGCTCCCATCTAAGCCTACTTTTAACTACAAAGAGGTCATGCTTATTTCATCAAAGAACAAAGGAGCAGAAGAAGAGCTGCAGCTGTCAACATCTATATACTTAAGCACTGCCCCGAATTTGGAGAACTCTCAGTTTAATCTATGGATAAACCCTATTTATATATTCTTTTATTTTAGGAACAAGACAATGCTTTCTGCTAAATATGCCTCCCTCACTAAAAATACTTCAGTAGAAGCTGAATGGGCTTCTGACAGGGATGGTGTTGTTGCAAACTTCCTTCACCTTGTTACCCAGATGGTCTTGGGACTCAGTGTGTGAGGAACTGAGTGTGGCCTTAATAATTAAATAAAATAAATTTCCTCCTAATTATGCAGAGAATAAAATGTTTCAGTCAGTAATCTGCAGAGCAGATTAAGCTACAAGTCTCCCTCAGTGGACCACGCCTTATATGTTAGTTTCCCTCAACTAGTATTTATTGTTTCAATCATCCACTCAAAGACTCTGGTCATGAAAAAGACTAAAATATTTCCATTATAGATAAAAACAATCAT